GCTTCACACGGATACTCTGTTATGTCTAGAAGAGCAATCATTTCCTTTTTATGGCGCAGGCTCTGCTTCTTCAAAGCTCTTTGCACAAAGCAGACCCCCCACCCCCCGGAACCCAGAAGTGCCTGTTAATCTCGGCTGATGATAGAAGAGAAACTTCTCTACACTACAGAATAGCAAAATACACTTTTAGTGTACTACTATTTCTTAAGTAACTTAAACCAGGATTTTCTCCAAACATCCCAAAATTATTCCCCATTTTTTTCCAACATCTAATTTCTTACTTACAGTGTAAGAGGGCCACAGAAAACACACCTCTAATTTTCACAAGATGAACAAGTTAGAAATCTCTGCCATGCATGAAAGTTTACACTGAATAATTTTTCATTTAATCACATTTTCCCCACCTCACAGGAAATTTATTTTTCATCTAAACACAAGTGAATTTCCACTAAAGCAACCTAGACAGTGATGACATCCTTCACTTGTTACTTCCCAGTATGTAAATCCACAATAGTTTCTACAACGGCACAAATGATGACTAGAACACTAGCAAAACTATACCCATATTAGCTCTGTTTTGTTGTTGTTTGACTAGAGAGCACAAGAGTATTTTCTCCTTGGCTCTGAATTCAATCTTCTTTATCTCCTTGTCATGAATACAACTGAGGGGAACATTCTATGGTAGTTTAAAGTCATGCTTCCTAAAATAATTTGCATGTTGATATCATATGGTGAATCTGATAACCTGGGAAGATTTTCCTGCACATTAACAAAAGCACTTTATCCTTTTTATTTTTTTTAAATCAGCAATAACTACAATAGCATCCACTGAGGACTTACTGTATGCCAGATATAATTGGTTTATTAAGATCACCTCATTTGACCCTAGTACCCATCTGACATAAGCACTATGATCCCCATTTCACAGATGAGGAACTGAAAGAGTAAATTATCAAGATCACAAAGTTTAGTGATAAGTCACTGAGTGTCATCACAGTAAAGCTGAAGTTTTGAAATACAGATAAAAGTAATTTGCTAAAGATATTAAAATAAAAACATTCAAAGCTTCCCAACTTTATTTGAAGTACAAAGACAACAGACTGGATGAATCCAAGGATCTTTGATCTTTTACTTAATTGGACAAACCAAAAGCTAAAACATTAATTTCATAAAGTATAGGCTTTGCTTGGACTCACTTTTATCAGGGAAGCATGTAGAATTAATCCAATCTATATTTTATGTTGACAGTGTCAAAACTGCCTGGGCTTAGCAGTCCTCAAACTGCTCTCATGTGGTCAGCTTACTCCAATTCTTCCAACGGTACACTTCATAAGACCCTGAAGCACTTTGTCCCCTAAGTTGTCACATTTTTAAAGCATGATATTTTTCTCCAGCAGAGGTGAACTACAGACAAAGGGATACATTTATATTATCTTCACCAAATGACAGAAATTACTGTTTGTGTTTTGTTTCTGTGTTATGACAATGTCCCTATGGGCACCCAGAAGTCCTGACATTTGATAATGCAGGTCAAATTATATATGTTTTAAGAGCCAATGAGCAACATCTATCATTGGCAATGAATGTATCTCAAGCTACCCCTGATCACATTACCAGGTAAGCTGGAACCCTTACTTTGAGATAAAACACAGCAGACAGTCGTTAATGAAACCTTAATTGAACTGTCAAAGCACCATCTTTACCAGCAAGCGAATGGGTAACTCACTATTTTTATACAACTGTCCGAGACTGATATGTTATTCTCTAGTAAAATTTAACAAAAAGATAAATCAAGTCAGGTACACTACTAAACTGTTCAGTAATAAATCTGAATGGTAAATACTGCATCATTTCTATGAATATTTCCCCTTGGCTGCATTGAAGACCAGTACCCCTCAAAATTATATCCACCTTTTTGGCCATTAGCTAGTACCCCAAGGTGCATGTCCATAAAAAAAGGGGGAGAGGAGGACATATAATTTCCCATCATAAGCTATGCCAGAAAATATTCAAAAAATTACTGACTGTTTGAATCTAAGTGAATCTTATGATACCCAGAATAATTACATATAGAGTACTGACTTAAATGATGTGTCACTAGAAGGATATTCTTTTTTTTTTTTTAGGAGGATATTCTTATGTTCTCTTTAATTATTTTAGGAAATAATTGTTTAGATGCAAAGAAAACTTTTAAATTAAAAAGAAAAACCCTATTTTAGTAGGTTAAATGGTGAAAAAAACCTCACCAATACCTGGAATTTCAGCACCTACTACCAATTAATTCTGGTTTTGTTACCAAATCTCTAGTTTTAGCAATCTTAGGTCACACAGCAGTTAAATTCTAAATAAGCAATCCAGACAGCAAGTCATCAATATGTAAATATAAAAATAGAAAAGCATTTGCATACTAAAAACACACACCTGGTACTCTTCCCCTTTTTCAAACTAAATTGTATTTCACCTAAAACAGCTGATAAAAACATTCCTGCAAGAACTAGCAAAATCTGATTGTGAAATGAAGACAGATCAAAAAAATAAAAAATAAAAAAAAAGAAAGAAAAACCATTCGAGGACACAGCAAGATGGCAGCCACCAGCAAACCAAGGACAGAAGCTCAGAAGGGCCCAAAACCCGCTGTCACCTAGATCTTGGATTTCCAGCCTCCAGAACTGAGAGAAATAAATGCCTATTGTTTACACCAAAACAAAGAAGTCAATAGATCAATCAATCAACCAACAAGGAAATCAGTAAATGAAAAAGGCATCTCGTAGCACTGTCCTAGGTGCTAGAGGAAACAAACAAGACTTCTATTCTAGACCAGAGCTTCTTAACACGTGGGTCTGGACCCCTTTGCAGATGGAAGGACCCTTTCACAGGAGTCACCTAAGACTACTGAAAACAAATATTTACCATTTATAGCAGTAGCAAATTACAGTTATAAAGTAGCAACAAAACTAATTTTATGGTTTGGGTCACCACAACATGAGGAACTGTATTCAGGGTCACAGCATTAGGAAGGTTGAGAACCTCTGTTCTAGACTAAGCATAGTCAGGCACCTCTGCAATCCAGGCACTCAGAGGCATCAAGATCACACCAAATTTGAGGTCCAGCGGTCTATATAGCCGAGTTCTAGGCCAGTATTGAGACTTTGTCTCCAAAAGTTACAAAAAAGTACTTGGATATATAGTGTTTATCCTCAAGGAACTTACAGTGTATTCAGTAAGGGAAGGCGTAAACACAAAGTCACAGAAGATGGTATCAGAGGTGTATGTCAAGTTCATGGTGCAAGAGACAGTCTACAAATCTCTAGAATGGATTCCCACCAAGCACTCGTGGATTTTCAGATGAGAGATTCCTAACACCCGCTCCCACAACATTTGCCAGAGGAGATGCTAGAACACTCCCTTTTAATATTTTTACTCTTGCCTCAAACCTGAAGTTAAAACTTCTACAAGTCATATTGCCTTTTGACAGAAAGATAGTGAACAGCACTCTATACTCATAAGTACTAAAAAGTGTTTCCCTTTTTGTATTCCTAGTTTTCAGCATTGACACACCACATCTAAAAAATCTAGATACTCAAAAGTTTGTAAAATGATGACAAGAGTTAAAGCAAAGAACCAATTTTCTCCTGCTCTCCTCCCATCCCCCACAGTTTGGAACTCCTCAAGGGTTAGGCAAGGAATGGAAGTTCATAGTGAAGTCCCTGGGGAGGGTGCTATGGAAGAGAAAGAGGAAAGCAGGAACAGGCAGGTCCCTGAACAGAGTGACTGAAAAGGAACCATTATGGCCTACACTCTTTCCCATTAGGAATCCCACAGTCCCTGGAGAAGCAAGGATTCAGCAATAACCTCCTTGCAGGCTAGCTGAGAAAAACTGGACTCTTGTTTTCTTCATTTTAAAAAAAGAATTAAGAATCAGCTCACTTAGGTGCCCAGACTATAAATTCTGAAATATGAAGATAGCTATTATGCAAATAATACCTAGCTGAACTTTGGCCTTTAAAAACAAAGGCAAAAAGGAATTATTTACAGGCTAGTTCCAAAGAGTTCTTTTTTGTGATGGGTAGGGTACTTTGCTGGACATTAAGAATCTATATTAGCATGCACTGAAAATATGAAATTATTTCTCTACACTGAAATTCTTAATTCTTGGAAGGGGGGGAAACCCCTTAGTTCATTCTGTTTCACCAATCTTCCTAAGAAGGGCAAACACACAAAGATATTGCATCTAACAAATCTTTAGACTTTTAAACATATCTGACCACTAGCAAAAGTAATAGCAGTTTCATCTGTTAAATGTACACTTCCTACCAGAACAACTGGCCAAGGGATAAAAGCACCCTAAGAGCCAGTGACACCACATTTTAACAAATGTGGGCCACTGCATAGCTCCAGTCTACTAACCTCATTTGTGCTACTCGTGTGTGATGCTATATTTAATGCATTCTTATCAGAAGGCTAAGCTTCATACTTCCCAACGTTAGCTTTACAGTTTAAAATAAACCACTCAAGTGATGATTTTTAACTGGTTCAACAATGAAACCTACCTTTCTTCGAAAGGCCAAGATCACAATAAAGTATGAAAAGACACAGTGGGCAAGAAAGTTGTTTACACTAAGTATATTCTGCAGGGGACTAGTGGGGGAGCCAGTTGTTGACACCCACTGTAATTGAGCAGCCAATCAAAACTACCACACATGAGATGACCAAGGTCTTTGTAGAAGTAGTGAACACATCCACCTACTGATCTTACACTCAGTAGGTCACTGAGGTTCTTATAAGGCCAGTTTAATCGTCTGCAAACTTGTGTCTCTCAGGAGAAAGTGCTCTACTACCATCTGTCATGACTCAAAAAAGTCAGGCCTCATCACCAATGAGGGTGGTTCCTCAAGTCGAGTTGAGAAGCTTGCTCTACTTTGGTCAAGACGAAGTGAACCATGAATCATGGACTGCCCCGTGAGAACCATGTGGCGTGGCATTGTGTTTTTGATACTCACCAGACAACACCAAAGGCTCCATATCCAATAGGTCTATCGGGCTCAATGTCCAGCTGCTGCTGTGGATGATGCGAGTGGTGATGGTGGTGCGCCTTAAC